CGTCTGTGTATGGTTGGGGCTGGCGCAGTCTTCCTGTGTGAAGCGCCAGACCCCTTCACACCATGGAATGAGGATGATGATGTATGTTTGGGGCTGCATTGCAATATTGATTGTTCGGATCATTGGTATCTAAGTCTTCCGCTGTGCTATTTTATACTTTGTATTGAAAGGTCGGTTCTTGTTCTGGTCTGCACCTATACGGTATGCAACACCCAGCCTACTTCCTACACAGCTACAGTCTGCCTCCTAATTGACAATGCAACTGTTGACGTCAGCAGCCCACAAAGTACTTCAAGATGTCGCCCAATGCAGACCATCGCCAATACCAGGTATGTGCCCTCACATCATCACCATCATCATCCTTCTCTCTCTCCCTCTGTCTTACTCCCACGTCTTCCCTCTGTACACCCGAAGACCACCCCTGCACCTCACTGTGCAACCAAGCCCTCAGCCAGCTATGGAGGCTGGGCTATGGCGCTTCCCTCAGCAGCGCCCTGCTTCCACACACGACCGCACGTGCGCAGCACCTTGCTCCAGCGCTAGCAGCCAGCAAGCAAGCAGAAGCTCCAGCAGCGCTGCCGCCAGCCAGCAAGTGCCTGAATGAGGCTCCAGGCAGCGAGCTCTTTCCTATATGGAAAGAGTCTGCCTGCCTTCGCAGCCTGGCTGGCCTGGGCCTCGGCCCAGAAGCTTCCGGTAGGCCCCAGGATGCTGCGCCTCTGTTGCAGCGACTGGGCCTCATTCGGTTGGGCCTCCCAACTGTCTGTGTATGAGCCTGCGATTCTCGTCCAGGGCCTGCATTCTTGGAAAAGCCTGGAAGGCCGTGGAAATGTCTCGCTGCTCAGCCTGTGTTTCCCTCAACCAACTGGTGCGGCGAAACTGCCTGGACCCCGAATACGATCTTGACAGCTTAGGGCATCTCCTGATTTGTTAGGTACGCCTTCACTTAGGGCGGGCACATCTGCAGTCAGGGGCCCCTTAGGCCTGCTGAGGACCCAGATCCTCGCACTCACTCATGCATCATCCATTCCATATGAGCGTGCAGGTATGGCAATCACACCAAACACATGAAGTCAAGTTTGCCTTCTTCCTCAAAATCGCCACACAGTTCAATGAAACTTGAGCATTACAATCACCAAATACCACACACACACAAAATCACCAAAATGTCCACGCAAGTTCAAGGCGACACTTCAATGAAACTTCCACAATGCAGCTATGTCACTCACTGCTACAAGGGTGCAGATCAGAGTTCAATGCAGTCTTCAGCTCGTGCAGACTCTACTACACAAGCATGTCTACTCTCCTCTCGCTCTTTCCAAGGATCTCTCTCTGAACATCGAAGTGATGCCCCTAATCAATGGCGCACTCTCCACCAAGCCAAAGCTCTCCCCTACGAGCACTCAACACAACAGCGTGATTCCCCTCCAAGGAGAAAGATGTCAACACGATTGCCCTACTACTTCAGTTATGGCTGTCTTCTTCACAACATAGCGCACTGCTTGATTTCACGAACCAGCACCACGCAGAATGAATGGGCCTCCAAAAACGAATTTCGTAGTTTTGTATCCCGGGCAGTTTCCCCCGTTTGCCCTTGGAACCCTCGAGATAGATTGCTAGACTCACAATTATTGCGCAAGTGGTACTAACTTACTAAGCATTGACTTTACGTACACGTAAGAGCAGGTCTCAGGTTCAAGTCTCCACAAGCACAGTCAACACTTACAACAGGTTATAGCAACAGGTAAGGGCACAAGTAAGTCAACAACAGGTCCCGGGTTCAAACTCCAACAGCATCACACAGGCATACAACACAACAGCTAAGTCAACAACAACAGCGACAGGTCGCGGGATCGAATCACGACAGGCTTAGGAAGGTGAAATCCTTTCAGATAGATGAGAGAGAGAGAGAGAGAGAGAGAGAGAGAGAGAGAGAGAGAGAGAGAGAGAGAGAGAGAGAGAGAGAGAGAGACATGCCTGGGGGTTAGCCTATGGGCTGACGGGGGAGAGCCCTGTACATCACTTCGGGATAGGGAGGGAAATGGCATACCTTTGCCCGCATGTTTTTATCTAGAAGGATATTGTTGGACTTGATATCACGATGTACATATCTAGGTGTTGTGTGCTCGTGAATGTATTCCAGAGCTCTAGCAGCATCAAGTGCTATCTGTACCCTCTCATTCCATCGCAAAGGCTTGTAACCTGTTAACAAACCGCCCATGCACAGCCCCACATATACAACATAAGTCCCTCAACATAGGTGTATCACAGCTGTGCTCACCTAAGCAGACATGAATGCACCAAGGCAGGCACTCATACAGAGCCGTTTACTCATTTTTACCCTCTCACTCCACTATGGTCATGCTCATCTAAATGGACATGCATCCACGAAGGCAAACGGCTGTTCTGAACATCTGAATATCCTGCACAGAATAACTCATGGGCACGACACTCTGATCTTCTCCATCAATGTAGTGATGCAGTAGTTAACATACTCTAGAAGTCATCATGAGCCGCCAGAAGGCTTCAACCCTTATTTTGATCCACTCTGCAGAGTCTGCACACACTTCTTCATTTGAACAAAAAAACATTTCTTTTTTCCTTTTTGCAGACTCTTCATCAAATCTTGCTCAACATGAAGTTATAGAAGCAATATTTCCTATACCAGAGCAGGGAAGGGATGTGTAGGCCCTGGTATATATATGCCAACGCTAATTATCAGATGTTCGGAGCACTTGATGCAAATGCCCAATCGCTACCTCATTGCCATAAGACAGAAATCTGGAGAGAGATCAGAGACAACCAGAAGGCATTATTCCAAAAACACGATTGGTACACGTGGCTATGGCCGCTCAGGCTCTCTCTCTCTCTCTCTCTCTCTCTCTCTCTCTCTCTCTCTCTCTCTCTCTCTCTCTCTCTCTCT